GTGGAATCCAGGGATGTTTTACCATCTCCTTGTTTCTAGAAGGGTAGTGTTTCTGGAAGGCCAAATATTATAATATTTTAATATTATAGTAATTATTATAATATTAAGTATCCATCTTCACTTAAAGGCCATCTGAACAAGTTCCACATAGCCTCCATCCCTACTGCTGCTTGATGTCTCTGATGACAGAGTAGTTGACCCACCTGTTGACTTCACTTTCCATCCTGCTTATCTAGGTTACCCCAGCGACGCCCCTCCACAGGCAATTCTAGACCTTGCTGGTGGTGCTAGCTCTGTGATTTTAGTAATTTCCAGAATCCTGCCTCTTTGCCTGCCCCATCTTTTCATTCTGGCTGCTTTGCTATGGTGCCATCTCTGCTAACAGTTTTTTCAAACCTTGTTGAGACCACCTGTTCATCACCTTTCACCTACTGTGTGTTTAGCCCTGGCCTCCTTGTCTATGGAGCTTTCATGATCTACCCTTAAAAATACCTTTAATTCCCTTACCTTTCTTCCTCTGCCAATTCCCAACTGTAGTTGTGAAAGAGAAAATTATTCAACTGCAGTGACTGGTTTCACTGTTAAGTTCAAGATGAAAATTGTAAATAGACAATCAAGCACTCCTACTTTCCAGAAAGTGTGCCTTTCTACTTGATGAAATATATGCTTTAGGCTGGGCACAGTGGCTTGTACCTATAATCCTGGCACTCTGGGAGGCCGAGGTAGCAGGATCTCTTGAACTCAGCAGTTAGAGACCAGCCTGAGCAAGAGCAATACTCCATCTCTACTAAAAATGAAAAAACTTAGCTGAGCATTGTGGTGGGTGTTCCAGCTACTTGGGAAGCTGAGGCAAGAGTTTGAGGTTGCTGTGAGCTGTGACATCATAGCACTCTACCCAGGGCAACAAAGTAAGATGGTGTTAAAAAAAAAAAAACCCCAAACACCCCCAACTTTTTACATTGTCTCCTCACACCGCTCTCATTCTGGCTCTTAGCCCCTCATCTCCCATACCTGATGACTTGACTTCTCCTTCAACAAAGAAGTAAAAATCATTGAAGGAACTCTCATCATTCCATCAACAAATTGATACCTGTCAACATCCATGTGCCTCCCCTTTCTCCCAGTGTACTGGATGAAGTCTTCTACCTTTCAAATTCCTGTTCTCCCTTTGGCTCAGGGTCTAGTCATTTTCTTGACAATTGAATTCAGTGAATCCTTTTCTCTCTTAACTCATTTGCACTCTGAGGGCTCATAGTATATTTAACATGGAGGACTGCCCTCCTTTTCTTTTGGAGATACTCTTCTGTAAGCCCTGTTGATAGCCCACTCTCCCGTGTTTCCTCCACATCCCTGAGTGCTCCTCCCCATGGCCTTCATGGACTTCATCTTCGCTGTCTCATAAAGATGCAGTTCCTGCCCAGGCGATGACAGCTCATCTTTCAGCTTTCTGGCTTACATAGCATTTCCTCAGAAGATTCTGGAGACCACGCTAGGTCAGGGCATCAGATTATGCATTCTCATTACACAGAGTCATTGCGCTTTTCTTTCTTAGCACGCATCACGTGTGACACATTGCTGTAATTTTTGTTCCATGTCTGTATCTTCGTCTGTATTTTACTGCCCATCATGTGTCCTCCTTGCCTGTCCTCATGTCCAACAGAGCCTAGGAGGTAGCAGGTGCCTAATAAATATCAGCAGAATGAATGGATTAGTGTGTAAGTGACTGCAAGAGTTTAGGAACTGTTAGTTCCCTTTCTCTTGCCCACCTCATATTCAGAGGAGCATGGCTATTCCAGGGTTGTGGACTCAGAAGACACGATCATTTCTATAGAAGACAAATTTGAGGTGTGGTGGAGGTTAATAGGATATTTAAAATTATTTAAGGACAGGCTGCTAACACCTCTTGTAGGCAGTTGAAAATACAGGGTGTCCATAAAGTTTGTATGCAATTTTAAAATAGTAAGGTAGGATAGAAATTGTAATGCAAATAGTTTTAAATTAATAAAAATTAATTGTAATTAATTGTAAATGCAAATAGTTTAGATCGCAGTAAAGAAATTATAGTTAAAGATCTATTCAAATCGTAAGAATTTACTTTTGTATATCTTTTAAAATTCCTTGTAATCTACTATGAATTTTTAAATGGAGAGAAAGAGAACATACAGTGTTCTCTGTGCCAGCAGATAAAACATACAGTGCATGTGGCATAAATTAAAATTATTGAAACTCTAATATGATTAGAAATGGTCAGCCTTGACTTACAATTGAAATTGTAATACAAATAGAATTGGATTTTCTTCTCCCTCTCCCCCATTCTTTTTTTTCAATAAATCCTGAACACAGATCTAAAGTCTTTTCCTAGAAAAAAAAGAAAAGAAACATATCCAAACTATTCAAAAATAGTTTTCTAAAGTCATGGGATAAGAAAGGTTATGGGTTTTTGGAATCTTTTGAAGTGTATGTAGTCTTACAGCTCTGGATGATACCCCAAAGCATTTTATCTCAAACAAAAGCTAGAGCTAGTTACCAAGTTGTATCACACTTAAGCTTGAACTTGAACAAGGTTGCACTGAATGGTGAAGGTCCAATGGGTATCATATTTCATAACTGTATCAGGTAGAATCTTTTAAATGCTATAAAACCATATTAAAATACTATTATCATTATGTTAAATATCATATTTTTATGAGCAACCTCAAACTCTTGAGCTTAAGTGATTCTCTTGCCTCAGCC